ATTTTAAAAAAGAATTCTTGATAGTTCATCTTCTTAACCAAACACTTACTAGCATGTTGTGAGACCTTCCCAGCTTCCCAGGAGGTAGCATATATTAAATTGAGAAAGCTCCTCCATTCTCTCTCTACACCCTCCCCCAGTGAAAGTCTACAGAAACACAGCTTTGACTCAACGATTTCACTGTCAAAGTGCATGTTTAGCTTCTCGTGTTAAAATAATCATCTTAATCTCAGATGTGTAGTTTCCAAAACAATTTATCTCTACTGGAACAAGAAAATAAACAAAGAAAAAGGAAGATATAGAATCCAGGAAGCAGAAGACGTAACACAGGACAGAGATGAAGGGATGGTGAAGGAAATTCCAAAGTGACATCTGTACAGCAGACATGGAGAACCACCAGGCCAGGCTGGAGCCAGAGGACAGAGAACGCTGGAAGCGTTGTCCCCAGGAGGGCAGACATGCAGCAAAAATAGTGCTGAATTTCCTTATACATTTGGTCTTGAGAGAAAAAAAATTGTACTGTTGGAAAGAGAGGGAAAGCTTAGCAGTAGATAGAAGCTGAGCAAATGAAAACAAAAAGACATAGCTGAATACAGGAAAAAATTAAAAATTGAACACACAAAAGTCAGGAGCATTGTCTACTCATGATTTATCAGATAATAAAATGCATACAGTATACAAAGTAATCATGCAAATGTTATCATTACAATGAATTTAACCTAAAGTTAGTGATTTTTGGTGGCAGTAGGAGGAGAAGATTTCAGGGGTAAATAATCAGGTGTCATAACAGAAGTTAATCACTAGAGATGAGGGTGCATTTTTTAGTGATGGAGCACTTGATTGGCATGTTCAAGGCGTGGGTTTGATCCCCAGCATTGCAAAACAAAAAGAAAAGAAAGACGAAAAAAACACCGCACTCATTACTGTTTCAAGAGAGAAGAATATAAAGATGGAAATATATTCCAGAATAAGCAAATGAGAGCTGCACTTGGAGGACGGCATAGGAGCTGATGCTTGCGGGGCTGGATGTAGAGCTCTCAGGAGCAGTACAAGGTGCCAATCATGAGCCTTTGATCGCTAATTTGACTAGTAACATACTTATTTCAACTGAACAAAAATTTAAAGAACTTAAGCTGTAGCTCAGAGGTACAGTGAGAGCTTGGCTAGGATGTTCAAGGCTGTGGTTTCAATCCCTGGTACCAATAAAATCAACATGAAAATGTGTCTTCAGATTAAAATGACTTCTGATTTTTTTTTTAATATTTTTTAGGTCTGGAGAGATGACTCAGCAGTTGGGAGCACTGACTGCTCTTCCAGAGAGGTCTTGAGTTCAATTCCCAGTAACCACATAATGGCTCACAACCATATGTAATGGAATCCGATGCCTTCTTCAGGTGTGTTTGAAGAGAACAACAGTGTACTCACATACATACATACATACATACATACATACATACATAATACATACATACATAATACATACATACATACATACATACATACATACATTTTTAAAAACTTTACATGTATGAATATTTTGCCTGTGTGCATGTATAAACATACCACTTGCATTTCTCATGAAAAAAAAAAAAAGAATAGGACATCAGATCCCTGGAACTGGATCTAGATGATTGTGCACCTTGTGAGTGCTGGGAACTGAATCCAGGTCCTGTTCAAGAGCAGAAATTTAAATTGGCCTGTATTTAGTGGCTTTAAATAAATATTGCTCTTGATTGGTTGTTCTTGATTGGTGAGCTATCTCTCTAGCTCCAACTTCTAATGTTTTTTGTCTTTTAACTTACCTGTATGAGTGTTTTGCCTGCATGCATGTCTGTGCACCATGTACATGCCTGGTGCCCAAGGAAGCCAGCAGAGAGCATCAGATGCCCTTTGAACTGGAGTAACAGACAGTTGTGAGCCACCATGTTGGTGCTTAGAATTGACCCTGAATCCTCTGGAAGAGCAGTCAGTGTTCTTAGTCACTAAATCATCTCTCCAGGCCCATATACCTTATTGAGAGAAGGTTTCTCAGTGAAAATGGAGTTCCAGTTTCAGCTAGACTGAACTGAACGGTGAGGCCCCAGGATCTATCTGTCTGCTTCATAGTGCTGGGGTGACACATATAAGCCAACAATGACGCTGGTGATGCCAGCTCAGGTCCACATGCTTGCACAGCAAGCACCTTGGCTGATGAGCCGTCTCCCCAGCCCATCTCCAGGGCTTTCTAACGGAAGAGCTGGGTTACATTCTAGTTTTTCTTTTTTAAAAAATATATTTATTTATTTAATGTATGTGAATACACAGTCATTCTCTTCAGACACACCAGAAGAGGGCATCAGATCCCATTACAGATGGTTGTGAGCCACCATGTGGTTGCTGGGAATTGAACTCAAGACCTTTGGAAAAGCAGTCCATGCTCTTAACCGCTGAACCATTCCTCCAGCCTCACATTCTAGTTTTTCAACATCTGCCAAAATGGCAAAATATTTAGGGCACTATTTGACCTATGGCTTTTCAGACTATAAACTCTCTGAAGTCATAAACAAGTTTTCTTGTTTGTGTCTCTATTGGACACAGCATATGCTTGGTGCTGTTGAATAAAGACCCTGTCTCCAACAAAAAAAACAAACAAACAAAACAGAAACAGGAAAAAAACTGAAAATAAGTTTGGGTTTCCAGCTCTACACTGATCTTGCTAGCATTTTTCAGAGTGCCCCCAAATGTGGCTGACTGAGGTGTCTGGCCATAGCAACAAGGATAGAATTGAGAGCTGAGGTCGTGCTTTGGTCTTCAGGGTGGCAAGTGGGTTCTTCCCTTCCCTGGGAATGTTCTGAATTGAGGAGATATTTGTGTACAGATGCTTGGAGGCAGGAAGCTGGGCAGCCACACCATTTGAAGCAGAAGAAAATTTGCAGTTTGGTCTTTGTGCCTCAGAGAACAGAGGCTGGATTTCCTGCTGCCTGTTGGGTCCAAGTGGACCAGTTTTCTCAAGTGAGAAGAAAAAAGATTGCCTCCATCTCTACCTCATTCTCCTTCTTATGACCCCACAAGTCACTTTGAGAATGGCAAAGAAGAATGAGCAAGAAAGAACTGTCCATGTATTCATTATTCACTAAGGCAGACACTGTATTAGACATTAAGCAATTCAGCCTGCCAGTTCACAGATGCTAAGGCTGCTATGCACCAGGCAAACTGAATCTGACCCTTGTTCTAAGCAGCTAACAGATAGGAGAAGATACTTATTATCATATTTACCATCCTACCTCCAAAAAGGACCTTCTTCCTTCTCAGATTCCCCCACACCTTTCTTCTCTGAGCTGCTCCTTGTCCACTCATCTGGGAGGCACCTTCTATTGCCTCCCAGATGCCCCAAACACTCGTATCTAGGAAAGGAACATCAGGCATGTCCATGAGACAGTCACGTGGGCTTTCAACATGACTGTTATCCTCTCCTCAAGTCTTCCCTACCCCAAGTTAAGATGAACTAAACTGGGAGCCCTGCCTGGAGCTGGAGCAGGAATCTTGGGGAAGCTCAGCTTTCGGGTTAGCATCAAAGACCAGGACAAGGTCACAGGCCAAGTCTCAGGGCAGCGATGTTGTTGCCCTGTCCTTGGTGCTGGGCATATCATGAGTCGATTAAGTCAACGCTGCTGTCCCTCTCATAATCCATCAGGGGACACAAAATGAAGGTCAGACTGGGAAAGTGGCCTGTGACTTAGCCTCATCCCTTAGAGCAGGGAGCTTTATCTTTTAGGCTGAGCCTCTGGCTTGAGCAGATTGCTTCTCTTCTATCATGGTGTGCCCTAATAGCTCAAGGATTCTGTTAAGATCCCCGAGTCTGATTGATTCAATAGGTCTGTGCTGGGGCCTGAAATCCCGAATTTTTAGTAAGGATCCAAGTGATACGGTTCTGAGGACCTCATTTTGAAGAATGGGCATTTCTCTTGGCTGAGAGGTGATGATGGGATTAATGCCAATTAATGGGCTTCCTTATACTGTAGTCCTGGAAATGGTCTCAAGGGGGCAGGAAACCTACCTTCTAAATGCACTCAGCCGCCCACACCTCATTTCATCCATACCATCTATGAGATGCAGGAGACAGGTTTTGACCAGACCGACTATGTGCACAGCTCTGTGGAATCACTCCTTGATGCTACTTCAGGAGAATCTGCCTAATGATTCAGAAGGAGATTCATCCCACATGGAATCCCAGGAGGCAAACGTCACCCACCATCCTTCCCAGCAACTCTCCAAGTTCCCAGCCAACACGACAAACCCAGAGAAAGGTTTCTTTGTTTGTTTTAATTAAACTAGCTTTGATTGAAAAATAACAATACCCAGATAAGTTCTGTGCTTTCCATGGGGCGGGGCAGCCACAGACGCCCATTAACCCCCCACTCAGTCAGGAGATCCTGGTGCTATGTAACCTAGAAAAGTCTGAAGAACTGTCCTCAGGACCTGCAGCAGAGCGTCAGGTGAATCTGTGGGGCGGCGGGGCTCGGTAAGAAAACAAGCGCGGACAGGTAAAGCTGGGGCAGGGGACAAATTTGTCAAACTTATCGGTAAATGGAGGAAGATGGGGTAGAAGTAATGAACCCAGGAGTCGGACCTCTGACGTGTTGGCAAACATCAGAAATGGAGGAGGTGCCTTGGGACGAAAGCTTCCACAGACTGGAACTCACCAGGACATTTGGGGCTGGAGTCCCCTCTTTAATCGTCCAGTTCCAGCGCACCGGACTTAGCAGTGTGAGGTGGGGCGCACAAGTAAAGGGAGGAATGAAGGCCTCAAATTGGAGAGGGCCCTTCAGTCTGGTGGTAAGATGGTCAGTCTCCCCAGGGATGGAGGAGAGCAGGGAAAGTTTAGCCCCATGCAAGGCTCAGGGACCCAGCGGATTGCACCCACGCTGCGGGCGGGCGGATAGGGAGGCACCACCGACAAGCTCGCACTGCTCCAGCGCGGGTCGGGGCCTCCACCAGGCGCTCCCGCAGCGAAGAGCGGCTCACAGGTAGCGCTCCAGCCCCGGCGCGAAGCCCGGCTGTCTCAGGTAGGCTTCCCCGGCGCCGAGCGGCCCGAGCGCACCGGCCGATCCCGCCAAAGCCAGGAGAGGCTCGGCGGGCAGCGGCGCGGGCAGCCCCAGGCGCTCGGGCGCGGGCGAGTAGAGCGGCGGCGAGGTTGCGGCGGCGCAGGGCGGGAAGGCGGCGTCGGGCGCGGCGCAGCAGGGCGGCTCGGGCGCTACGGGTCCCGGCGGCTCGGGCTGCAAGCCCAGCAGGCTGTCCAGGCGGAAGAGGCGCGCGGGCGGTGCTGGAGCGGGTGCGGGCGCGGACGGGAAGGGTGTGTAGGGGAAGGGCGGCGGCGGCGGCGCGGGCAGTTCGGCGCGCTTGAAGCGCTTGCGGCGCCGCAGGAAGCTGCCGTTGTCGAACATGTCGGCGGCCGCGGGATCGAGCGTCCAGTAGTTGCCCTTACCCGGATTGCCCGGCTCGCGCGGCACCTTGACGAAGCAGTCGTTGAGGGTGAGGTTGTGGCGGATGCTGTTCTGCCACTTGCGCGGGCTGTCGCGGTAGAAGGCGAAGCGCTCGGTAATGAAGCGGTAGATGGCTGCCAGCGTGAGACGACGGCCCGGAGCGTGCGCCAGGGCCATGGCGATGAGCGCGATGTACGAGTAGGGAGGCTTTCCACGCTGTAGCGGCCGCCGGCGTCGCCTGCCCGGGCCGGGCGCGGCCGTGGGCTCGGCGTCCCCACCGCCCACCACTTCCTCGGGTTCGTGCCCCGGCTCGGCTCCCGCCAGCTGCAGCGGCTGCGGCCCCGACGGCGAGACCGAGGGCAGGGCTGGGAAGCCCGAGAAAGCGACGTGCGCATCCATGTGTGGGGGTTCTAGGGATGCGGAGCCCCTGCCCACGCCCCGGAGAGCAGGGGGTCGCAAGTTCGCCTTATATGGACACACACCCCCACCTCCCGAGGAGAGGGCTCGGACCTGCCCTCTAATTTGTTTTCCCAGCCCCCTTCCCGGGCTGGCAGCCCACCTCTGTTTCTCCCCCTCCCTTGGTCTAGTCCCTGTGGGTCAATGTTTTCAGACCCTCCCTCATCCCTGAGTCAGTTTCGGCCCCATCCTCATCCCATGGTATTTGGTCGCACTGCTCCCATTACCCCCGCCCCTTTGGGTCAACCCCAATCACAAATCCACCCATTCAGCACACTCTACTGCCCTCTCCCCATTTTGTGCCTTCCAGAGGTCAGATTACCCTTTAACCTTCCCTATGCTTCTAGTTCAGCTCTGGCAGTCTTTGCTAGCTAGCCTCCAGCACCTATGTAGCTGGTCGGGGAGGCATCAGGCTCCTTTGAACAGTAGAGAGCCAGAGTGAAGGTGATAGAGGATAGCGCAGAACCGGGCTGCCTTTGTTGCAGAGGAAGATGTTTGGAAACCCTAACTCCTTTTCCCTGCTGCAACCCCTTCCTCCTTATCCATTCCTGACTCCAGGCCTTGTGAACTTGTCTTGAACATATATAATGGTAAAAAGTACTCTCTGCTTTAAAGGAAGAGCCTCCCAAAAGACGCATACCCCCAAATGCTTCCACTGAAGGAAGGGCTGAAGGAACTCCTTTCTGGTGTAGACACTATCATTGGGTGGAGAGAGGGAAGAGTTTTTGTTAAAATGCCATCCTTCATCACCACAGAGAGAGAGCCAAAGGGTGAGAAGCCTTGTCTTAAAGCAGAGAGACTGACAGGATGAAGGGAAGCAGAGGCAGAGCAAGGAGCACAGAGGCAAGTGAAGGGTGTGCCAAGCTCCAGAGGCACTTACTGTCAAAGTCTTGTGAGTACAGTCAGCCCTTGAGAAAATTTAGGCCCCTATTAGACTCCATCTCTGATAAAGTATACCTTATCCCCCTGCAAATGCCCAAAGCTAGATTCAGGTGGCCTGTAGCCTAGGATGCAGAATCCAAACTCAGGCATGGAGTTCAAGGACACCCCTCCTGTACTCCCAGTTGGTAACACATCATGACCACCACTGCTTAGCATCTTGTATTTGGCAAATACTTTATAGTATTTCACTGGCACTTAAGCTCCTCTGGTAAATATTATTATCCCCGTTTCTTGCCTGGGGGACCCGGTGCTCTGAAAGGTTAAATAATATAACCCATCTCACGCAAGGTACACTAATAGTGGCAGAGCAGAAATGAAGCCCCATGATCAGAGCACCGCCCACCATTGCTCTTCTAATGCCATTCCTTACAATGGAAGCTCTAGTCCAGTGTGGTGGAACGCATGTGTGATCCCAGCACAGGAGAGACTGACACCACTTAAAGGCTAGACTAGGTAGTGGTTCTCCATATCAAAAATAAATAAACGGGCTGGGAAGATGGCTCGATGAGTTACATCATTGACATTCAAGTGTGAAGCCCTGAGTTCAGAACTTCAGAACCCACATGAAGCTGGACTCGATGGTGCATCAATAGTCCCAGTACCCATATGACAAGACAGAGGAGGCAGAGACAAGGGAATCCTCAGAAGCTTGTGGGGAGCTAGCCTACTGTAGGCAGTGGTGAACAGGAGACCTTGTCTCAAACTAGGAAGGTGAGGACTGACACCCAAGATTGTCCTCTGCCCTCCACACAGAGGCACTCCCAAATGCATGTATACCCCTGCACACCGTTTACATAACATGCACACAAAAGAGAGCTAAGACTTCAGGAATGAAGTACAGCAGAGTTCCTCCAGTTTGCCCCACTTTAGCTGCCAAAGTTCTTTCCCAGTCTCTCTCCTCAGCAGATGCAGGTGCCCACTGGACATCACTTCATAATGTCTCGAAGCATCTCGGTTCCTCGTTCTGAATGACTCCTTCCCCACCCCCAGCCTGCTCATCTGTCAGCACGCCCAATCTCAGACAGTAGACATCCCTTCTTTGAATGAGGCCCTATACTCAGGCCACTGCCACACCCTGTCAAGGCCACACAGATCCCAAACCCACTTCTCCTTCAGTCCTGGGCTCAGTTCACCTGCCTCATTCGCCAAGAGCATCCGAGCCAGGCCTTTTGCCAGTGCCCAGGACCAGATAGAAATGAGATGGTCCAGCGGAAAAATGGACAGTTATACCTGGAGAAGGGGATGGAGGAGACTGAGGAAGCAGCCAGGAAGATGATGACACTTGCAGGTCTAGAGACAATGTCCCAAACATACAAGGATGACTGTGTTGGAACAGACCCTGCTCCTCTACCCGCTCCTCTGTTCATCCTGTGTCAGCACAGGCCACCTGGAGCACAAGACAGTGAAATCACATGACACAGCTCACCACAGAGGAGGACAAGGCAAGTCACTGTGGTGCCAGAGCATAGCTCCCAGAGCCACATAAGCAAGGCCACCTCTTGTTCAAGCCTGTTTCTTCACCTGCCAAGTGGAAGCAATGACATCTCCATAGTAAGGGATGTATAGGGGGCCTGGCTTGCTGTGGATCTTGATAAGAAGCTTTTTCCCTTCTGCATTAACCAGGGGGGCAGAAGAGAGCCATTCAGCCAGGGACAGTGTTATCCTGAAGGTGGACTCAAATGCAGAATTAGTATTGATGGAACCTTAGCCTTTCTCACCTTCCCCTAGGGATGAAACTCCTATCATAGCCTCTGTGTAACACCTCCAAGGAGGAAATTGGCTGTTACTGCATCCTATGGCTGATTACAGGATTTTTATTGTTTTCTGTAGGTACCTTCAATTTCCCAGGCCATGTGTATAGTCTGGGACATACTATATGTTCAATAAATGATCCTGAATGTATGGCTGGCTATTGCTAATTCTGAGAAGGGTGGGGATGAGGAGCTGAGCCAAAGGGGTGAGAACCCAGACTTTGCCAGTTCTTTGTGCTTGCCTACCCCCCACCTCCGTTGGGCCTGCTTCCCAGAGTGGAGCAAGCTGGTGTCAGGGGGCGGCCCAAGGGCTAATCCGTGTTTTCAGCGTGGCTGGGCCCTCTTTTCACAGGCCCTGGGCCGGACGTGATGCGGCTGAGCATCCGGGCATAAGACGGCCAGTGAAGGCGGCCTCTTTCTCATGGGCCTGGATTCCAGGCGGCCCAGCGTCTGAGTGGAGCCCCTGGGGCGGGAGGAACACAGTAGCTGGGCTGGGCAGTCCTTTGTCTGACCACACTGGGTGGATATTCGGGCTGGCAGGAGGGATTAATGGCCAGGGATTGGCCCTGGGGCCGGCCTTCCCACTGCCCTTTGGAGGCCAAAGGCCCAGGTCAGGGCACACAACGTTGATGGTTCTCCAGATAGGAGTGGAAATTCCCACCCTTGTCCAAAGCTATTTGCACTAGGCTCCAAGACCCTCTGCTCCAGCCCTGGCTGGAGAAGCACCATTAGCTCAGACAGACTTGGAGGCAAGGAATGGAAGTACAGCTAGTACCAAGTACTCTCCGGGTGGGGAGGGGCTCTGTGACTGAAAGTCATTTCAGGTCTTTGGCTAAGATTCTCACCCATAACTGCCCATACAGCGCTCTGGAAATAGCTATATTAACCCAAAGAGGTCCCAAGAGGCCAGCCTGAGCTGTCCCCAGACCGACCCACCCCCAAGGCTTTCCAAAGATCTCCTGTTTGAGAACTGATATTTATTTCAAAGCTCTTTATCAAAGCCTGGACATATCCATAGCTTAGGAACAACAGTAAATCCAAGACAACCTCAAACCATCTCTGGCTCCTCACATGCCTGAGGGTTCCACATTAGCGCTATGCAGAATATGGCTCATTCCTCAGGCATCAGGCAGGCAGCTGGGGGCTGTCTGGGACTACACTGTAGGGACACCCTTTCTGATCAGGCTCCCCCTACACAGGGCAGAGAGCAGTATGTCGGGTGTTGCCTCAAGGCCTGGTTCCTGAAGGGCTGAGCTGCCCCCCTAACTCCCACCACCATGAGTAGTGGTACAGACCTGCCTGTCTGGGAGCACATAGGGAAGAGTGAGGAGAAGATGTTCTGTGTGGTTCTTCCCTCCTCAGGCCATATATATATATATATATATATATATATATATATATATCCCAAGAATGCATGTCCTGGCTACTTGGATTCTGGGTCCCATTGAGGAGTTAGTCTTTCATCTGCTTTCACTATGTTAAGGAGGGGTCAGGCAGGCAGATGTTCTCTGTACTCAGTAGCAAGTTTATGAATCTGGCAGCATAAGGGCAGCAGGAACAAAAAAGAAGAACCTCACCCAGCCTGGCTGAGTCAGGCTTCCTGGAAGGGGTAAAGCTCCAGATGGCCAGGTGGGAAAGAATGGAAGCTGGACTAGAAGATCGTTGTCACACCCCATAACATCTCTGTCACTGTACTTACTTACTGTGTCTGTCTCCCTTACTGGGCTTTGTGTGCACAGAGGGTACATCCCACATCTCATACGTGGCCTCTGGCAATGAGTCAAGTGCCTTGAAGGCGTGGCAGATCGACAGATGTCTGTTGGATGGTGAGACCAGGCTGAGTACTGAGCTCCAGAAGCAAGAGTATCTGACCCATCCTGGAAAGTTGAAAGACTTGCTGTTTTCCTGAGCATCACAAGAGTTGCCAGCATACTCTAGAGCTGGGTGTCTATTTCAGGTTATGGTTATTCCCCATGATGGCTGATGTCCAGGCTCATGAGACTGAGACAAGAGACAGGAAGGTTGGGTTGTAGCTGACCTTTTATGCCATGTTAAGGGAACTTTTGAAAAGGTCCCAGCAAGATAGTGACCAGAACTTATTTGGTCCCCTTAGACTCTGGAGAGATGAGCTTGAAAGGAAGGCCTACCCTGTCACGGTGAGGTGTGCACCTAGAGAGAGGCAGTTGGGGAACCGCAGACACTTTGTTCCCATTAGCCGACTAGCGGGAGAGCCTGGAGCTGTCCATCTCT